CCCGGCCAAGCTGAAGGTACGGGGATGTATTTATAGCGCTGTGCGAGCTGGGGAGCAGCAGGGACAGGAGGGGGGAGGATGGTGCCTGAGCAGACGTGTGCGGCAGGAGATGAGCCCTGTGAGGAGCAGAGGAGTGGAAAGACACTGGTAAGGGAGAGGTAGCGGGGACAGAAAGGGGGAGAAAGGAGGGGAGCAGCCCCCGCGGGAGCGGGGCCGAGGGGCGCGATGGACAGCTGGGAGATGCGCGACATATTTTTGTGCGGTTATTTGATGCAGTGATTCCTTGTCTGAACGGCGTGTGTGTGCCTGGGGGGCTCAGGGCAGAGCCAGCGCTGTGAGTGTGTGGGTGTGTGTGCACAAACACAGCCTGGTTTGTGTTATAGTGCTTTGGTAGCCGCTTTTCTTTCTGCTGCAGCAAATGCTGGTGGGTGAGTGGTTTTGCTGATAGTCCCGTGCTCAGCGCCAGGCCTGAGGAAACAGATGTCCACAGGAGATGCCCCGGGGGCTGTTTGCGTGGTGAATTTATGCAGCTCTCTGGCAATGGAAGGAAGCAAAGGGTCTGCTTCCCCTGTGGGACTGGGCTGTGCTGGTTTGTGCAGATGCAGATGTGGCAGCTGTGCCTGGCCAGAGGGGAATGGCTGGAGGAAGGGCTGCCCGGGAGGGAGCTGGACAGCTTGTGCTGGAGGCTGTAGCACTGAGAGAGCCCCTCTGCCCCCTGAAGAAGTGGAGACAGGGGCACCAGGATCCCAGCACAAGCTCCAGCATTTCTGGGATTTACTCCAGACCGAGGGTAGGGGCTATTCTTCAGATTTTCTGTGGTCCTATGGTGGTTTATTTTAGCTCTTTTGAATATACCCAGCAAGGCTCCATTTGTCCCCAGGCTGAATGGTGAAGTCACACAAGATCTGCGTTGGTTCAAACAGCATGTGCACCAGGGAGGTGAGGAGGGAACTGGGAATGGCAGGAGCGATGGAGGCTGTGCTGTGTACCCTGCCTCGGAGGTTCAGACAGGCCTGCGGGCGCTTTGGAACCAGGGATGGCTTCTCCTCTGTGCAACAGATCCTGAATGTTTCTCCCCCCAACAGGAACAGGCCTTGAACTCAGCGGTGCTTTGTTCCTTGGTTTGCACTCCCAGGGTGTTCAAACCTCCCTCCCTTGGGCCACCTTGGCAGAGTGGTGGAGGATGTGAGATCACCGCGTGTTGCTGTGATGTCCGGTGAACCAGCGAGTGTGTGCCTAGGGACAGTCCAGATATGTTTTGCTTGGCCTGAAGTGCTTTGGTTTGTAACAGGGACCCAAAAGTCGGCCACATCTCTTGGTGGCCTCCACTGTGTTGCACAGGGCATGTTCTCAGACATGTGGGAGTGGGACACCAGTGGGAACAAAGGCATCACATGGTCGAGGCGGTGGGGAGGAGGGCTCCTCGTGCCAGAGCGCTGCTGGCCGGGGCCCTTTGCTGACAGCTGGGGCTGGCGAGGGAAGCGCGGTGCAACGACCGGCTGTCCTGGCTTGTGTCCGCTTGATGGGAGCTGGCTCACAAGGGTCAGGAGCATGTGGAGGGGGATGTGATGCCTCCAGGAACTCCCAGAGTCCAAATCTCTCATCTAATTAATGGATTTCACCTTTTCACAACCCAGAAAGCCATCTGTCTCCTTCAGTAGCTCTCCCAGTCCTCTGTGCCCCGTTCAGTGCTCTCCATCCCATGCATAGTTACTCTGCAGATAGTGTCCATGCTGAGCCCTAACGAAGATGGTGAGTGGTGTAGAGCTGTGAGCAAGGCAGACACCAGGCTCAGGAGGCTACTTGGGCTCCTTAAGCACGATGTTGATGTTGGCACACTAGCAGAAAAGGTGGCACGTGCCTGTCACAGTGCCTGCACGTAGCTGGGACGGGAACACACGTTTGGTATCTCAAAGCCAGGATGGAGGAACTGTGGGTCTAGGCTGGCTGTGGTACAGGGACAACGCTGCTGTTCCCGAGAGAAGGCTGTTAGAAGAAGGGGATCCCTCCTCACAATTTCCCCTGCAGCAGGGAAATGACCACATGAGTTATGGGTAAAGGGCAGTGTCCTGCACCAGCTGGGATTTGCTCATTTCAAATGCTGTGATTCCACTGGGCTGTGGGAGGTAACCAGAGGTACAGCAGATCCACACTTTCTTGGTTGGGCTGAACAGATATGAGAGATCAGGTTCAGCCAGTTACACTTGGCTGAAGTAAGTGGAGTTGCACCAGAGCTCAGCTCTCCAGTGTCAGCCCTTAGTCATCTAGGTAAAAAACCAAAGAAAATATTAGAAACACACCCCAAGCCTCAGCCATAGTTTTGTTATCACATTATTAGTACTATTGCACATGTCAACTCACTGAAGAGAGCAGGTGATCGTTGTCTTTCCAAGGTCTGGTAAAGATCAGGACAGGTTTCTTCCTGCTCTAACCCAAAGCTTGGCTGCACGAGAAGTGCAGGGGGAAGGACATTGTACGTTTGTGCTGCTCACGGGACAGCACTGGTCCTTGCACTGTGAGGTGCGGACTGTTACGTGTGCACTTGGGTTGTTTTCAGGGATGTGTTTCATCGGGAAGCAAAGCAGCCGAGAGGCAGCCCTGGCACTGAGGTACACAGGCTGGAAGTCATCTTTTTTTACCCTGTTTTCTTGATCTTACCATTATCACATTTCTCACCCTGCCTTGCACACCTCATGTTCATCCTTTACTGAGCCTTTTGGGCAGCAGTTCATAGTGTCCCCCAGGCAGACGTTGCTTTTCAGCCATGTTAGCAAGGAGGTGAGGGAGACCAGAGCTCACAGTCACTATGTCTGTCAGGACTAAAATCACCAAGTCTGAGACCCAAAACAAACCTCAATTTCTTGAGAGCAGTGACTGTGATAAAGAGCACAATCCTTGGGCCACTGTGGCCATCAGCCATATCTGTCCCATCTGAGTGGGCAGCTCCAAAGCAGCCATAAATTGGGAGGAGGAGACTCTGTGTCCTCCCTTCTTTCTGTCCCCACCAGGACTTTTCAGTCTTCCTGGCTGAGGGTGCCTGAGGATGCTCACACGTGTGAACGTGCAGCCAGAGGCTCAGGAGCTGTGTTGCCCACTTGCAGTATGGAAATATGTGAGAGTCAGCATAAGCTCGACACACTGGATCGTAATTTGTGTTTCTTTGAGTGTGAGCCCCAGGAAGAGATAGCTAAGCTTAGGAACAGAGGTCTTCCCTGCCGTGTGTGGTGAACCAGTGCCAGAGAGCTGCAGGGTAAGGACAGCCATGTGCTTGAAGGCATCCATGGCAGGGTGGGAGCTGGGGCTGGTTTTGAGGAACTCCTGGCTCCATGGACTTGCCTGTGGTGTGAATCCCAGGGTTATGTTTATTTTGAGTGATGTTGAAAAGCAGAATCTATGATGTCTCTAGCTCAGGCATTTGTGAATGGCTGCTTCCCCTTGGGTCTAGCTTGGAAAGTATGTGAGAAGAGAGCTGTTTGCCAGGGTCCGTGTCCACCCTCCCTCTGCGATGGAGCCTGGGGAGGGGATCGCACTGCTGTGGGGGTGCAGGCTGTGAAGGCCCAGGGATGCTCAGGTGCAGGCTGGATGGATGGAGCAGCTGGAGAAACAAAGAGTTTGTGAAGTTGTGTGTCAGTAGCAGCCCCAGATGTGCTCTCTGGTGGGAGTGGCAGGGTTTATCTTTACCCTCGTGTTCCCCATGCTGGGCGCTGCAGGCTGCCCTGAACTGCCGTGTCTGCTGGTGAGAGCAGCTGAGCAGGGCTGCAGCTGAGGAGAGGTGGCCCTCTGTGCCCACCTGTGGGAAGGGCAGAAGTCCCTGAGCCAAGAGGAGGTGCATGCCCTGCGCTGCACCACTGCCAGGGCAGGGACTGACCTCTCCTCCACCCCTGGGCTCTGCCTCAGGGACTTTTTGAGTCCAACTTCCTGTTGCTGTGTGACGCTTGAGCAGCAGGGGTGGCACTCCCTGACCTGCTCCCATCCACCTCTGTCCTGCAGGACCATGAGAAGCAGTACGTGGGCTTTGCCACTCTGCCGAACCAGGTCCACCGGAAATCCGTGAAGAAGGGTTTTGACTTCACCTTGATGGTCGCAGGTGAGACTGCCCATGGATGGAAGTGGCTGGGCCACACGGCGGGTGTGTGGAGGGGACCGACTCTTCTCCCTTAGCTTGTGGATCCTCTCCTCGCTCTGTTCTGGTCCTTGTCTCAGACCTTGCTTTGCTCCCCAGCCTGTGTTGCAGTCACACTGTTCCCCAGGAGGAGTGGGCTCCTCCTGGCCGCCCATAAACTGCTTTGAGCAAGCACTGAGTTTAGCTGCTCCTCCAACAGAGTGCCTGGTCTGGGTGGTGAAGGCAGGGACAGCCAGAGACCGAGGGAAAGGAAGTGGGGAGGGAGGGTGGAGGAGCTGGGAGATCACATTTGTATGAGGATTGAGATATTTTACAGCAAAAGTCCTCCCACTGCTGGAAAAATGTAATGGCCATAAACAGCTTCTGACAGCTCATCTCTCTCACTTCCTCTGTCTCAGGATTCAAAGCCTTGTTCGGAGTTTCATTTGTAAGTCAATTAGTGGGTCATGTTGCTTGCTTTTCCCTCCTCCCCTTTGCACTCTGTCAATTAGGAGAGTCGGGTCTGGGCAAATCCACGCTGGTGAATAGCCTGTTCCTGACAGACCTCTACAAAGACAGAAAGCTTCTCAACGCAGAGGGTAAGTTGGGGACAAAGAGGTGGCGAATGGTTCTTGTGCCCACAGCTCTAGACTGTCCTAAGGTCCCTTGCTTCAGCAGCAGCTACAGGCTTGACTAGATCCCAGCACTGTTGTTTGTTGCTCTGCTCTCCTTTGCTGGCTGCAGAGACACTAGTATTTGAGCAAAAAGGGCTTGGCTGTAGATCTCTTCTGTCCTACGAAGGGAAGACGAGGCTGCAGAGAAGCACTATCCCTTTGCATTGAGATGTTGAGATTTGTCTTTTGTTCTTGCATGCTGGAGTGTGGTAGGGATTCCCCTTCCCAAGGGACTGGCCAAAATGTTCAGAACAGCTGATCTCCAAGCACTTCAGAGGTTTGTGTATCTTCTCAGAGTCTGTCTGCCTGCTGCTGGCCTCCCACAGTACTACTCCTCTGAGGCTCCTTAGAGGATGTTCAGGGCTTTTTGAAATCCATGTTACTCCCTGTGAGTGATAAGAAGGGAGCCAGCTTGTTGTGGGTGTGAACAGGGACCCCCACTTACTGTCTGGCTTTAACTTACATATTCCTGTTCAAAGAGAGAATCAACCAGACAGTGGAGATCGTCAAGCACACAGTGGACATTGAGGAGAAGGGTGTCAAGCTGAAGCTGACCATAGTGGACACACCAGGCTTTGGAGATGCTGTTAACAACACTGAGTGGTGAGCAGGCCACTGCTGCCTTCCTCCTAGTCCTTGGCCACGTCTGCTTTCTGTGGGTGCTTCACAGGAAGGGGGTCTGGCAGTGGGAAGGGGATGATATTGCCTCATGGTTCCTAGGAGGCAGTTTCCTGTTAAATACATGATATTTTTTTGATTGAATTACCCTTCCCAGCTGGAAGCCCATCACTGATTACATCGACCAGCAGTTTGAACAGTATTTCCGTGATGAGAGTGGCCTGAATCGGAAGAACATCCAGGACAACCGTGTGCATTGCTGCCTCTACTTCATCTCGCCCTTTGGGCACGGGTGAGAACCCCCATTCCGTGCCTGGGGTATGACTAGGTCCAGAGGGAAGACTCTTGTGCCCCAGGATTGTCCTATAGTGACTTGTACATTGGCAGGGCTGTTGGCACAGGAGAAGAGCTGTCTGGATGCTCTCCTTCACCTGAGCATCACAACATCTCTCTTCCCCTGGCTGGCATGACAGACTTGCCTGTGATCTGGCAGAACAGATGTCCCTCAGGCCTTACAGCCTGTTTTGGAAATCAAGAGAAATAATGTCACACAGACTGGTATCTTCCTATCTAGCTAAGCCTGACTGATGGGTAGGAAAGGGAGTTTTAAGCTGCCTCCAGTCCTTGCCCCTTGCTGGCTCGTGTGCTGACCTAGCCTGGAGCAGCTGGAGGGGCCGTGTTGGCTGCCTGCAGCAGAGGGCAGCGGGAGGGAGACCTGGGGCTGTGTCCTGAGCAGTATTGGCCTGCAAGGGAATGAATACCCAGCCTGTGCCTGTGTGAGACATTCAGCAGCTAAAATCTGAGACAGCTTTCCTGAAGATCCAGCCCTAGCTGAGGGCTGTCCCAGTGCTGCCCCAGGCTCTTGTGACAGTGCTGTCCTTTTCCATTCATGCTGGGTGGGTGGGAGAGGCTGGTCTGGGAGCTGCACAGTGCGTCCTTGCTAACAGTGTTCCTCATCCCTGCTGCAGGCTCAGGCCTGTGGATGTGGAGTTCATGAAGGCTCTGCATGAGAAGGTCAACATTGTGCCCCTGATTGCCAAAGCTGACTGCCTGATCCCCTCTGAGATCCGGAAGCTAAAAGAGAGGGTGAGATGCTCTTTCTCTACAGGGGTGTACCTGATGTGGTGGCAGGGATGTGCTGAGGAGGGAGGGGAACAGAATACCTGGTTATATATATATTTTTTTTTAAATACATTGTGCACATGTGTGTGTTGTGTGTGTGTGAATATATATATATATACACACACACAGTACATGCAAATCTAATTGCAGCAGAGCTCTGCTGTGAGAAGGGAAGTCGTGTCTGCAGAGAGGCCAGCTTTTGAAGAAACATTAAATCCTTTTGCCATCTGTAGGCTATAGCAAACCCATGGTAGCATAAACAGGAAATAAATGCATCATTTCTGTATTGTTCACTGTTGTGTGCTTTTGTTTTTGTCTTGCATGGACACAGATCCGGGAGGAGATTGACAAATTTGGCATTAAAGTGTACCAGTTTCCTGAGTGCGACTCTGATGAAGATGAGGACTTTAAGCAGCAAGACAGAGAGCTGAAGGTAAGGCACCAGCTCAGCAGGGGACTGGGAATTCTGGCTCATGGGTATGTAGGTTGCTCCAGAAGGAGCCACAGCTGCCCTGTGTGTGCCCAAGGCCTGCACTACTGATACCCAGGGCACAGCCTACGTTGGCTCGCGTGGTAGATGGCCTGGAGAAGGTGCTGGTGTCCTTGCTGGTGTTAGGAAGTCAAGTGTGGCACAGAGACATGGCACTGGGGCTCTCCTACCAGGCAGTGTAAGTCTTTCCTCAGTCTACCCCAGCCTGTATGTTTAAGATGGAAGCTGGATTGTATGGCATTTGTGAGCACCTATTTCTGAGGGATGCCATCAGCAAGAGGAGCGATTTGTGGTGATGAGGCACCACTGTGACCCATTAGTTGTATGGGAGGAGACAACATGATCATACAGGCCTGTCTGGAGGCCAGCAGCCCAGGCCTGACCCTCTCCCAAGCTGAACCAGCCCTGCATGTGCATGCAGTATGGCCTCGTCTCTCCTGTCTGAGGGGGGCAACGGGCTTTGATTCCCATCTGAGCAGAGGGGAGCACAGCCTGTACCTCCCTGCCTGGACAAGGTCTTGGCCTACGTTGTTGCACTTGCTTGGTGTCCATGCCTCTCTGCTCAGGCTTCCTTCTAGAGTTTCCCCTCAAACAAGGGATGCAGGTGCCTGCAGAGACACAGCTTCCCTGAGGACAGTTGAGAAGGTCAAGCTGGGAATCAGGCTACCTGCAGATCCCAGTGCCTTTAGGCTTTTCTCTGCAACTGGGTTGTGGTGTCCTGTGCTGTGGCATGTGTGGAAGTCCCTGGGCATTTCCTATCAATCCTTCCCTCCTCCTGTTCATCTCTGCTTGAGCTTGGCCCTTGGAGGAGGGATCCATGGGCAACCTGAGGCTGAGCTGGGCTCAGCAATGCCTCTCATTCCAGGAGAGCGCTCCCTTTGCCGTCATCGGCAGTAACACTGTGGTGGAGGCGAAAGGCCAGCGAGTCCGTGGACGGCTCTACCCCTGGGGCATTGTGGAAGGTAAGCGTGGTGCCTGGGAGCCAGCACTGTGAGCGAGGGGAAGGACAGGTAGGCACTTGCAACAGGGATGGCAGGGGAGAGCTCATCTCTGCACAGCCATGACTGACTGTGCCACCTTTGGCACGTGGCAGGGGATGAGGTAGGGTGGAGACAGAGGCACTGGGACTGGCTCAGGAGGTCTGTTTCTGGGTGTGTAGCAATCGCCCTGTCTCTGAAGCCATGACAAACTGAAGAAGAGAGGCTCCAGTGTGAATGGGAGAATGTCTGGGCATTAATGCACTAGGATATGGCTTCTTATAAGGGGGAAGACTGGGCATTGCCAGTTTAGTTTCTGGGGAGAAGCTATTGCCCTCGGCCAAACTGAATCCTAAACCCTCCTGCACTCCCTCCTCTGCTGCCGCTTCTGTCTGTGCTGGAGTAGCTGCACTGGAGGCTGTGCTGATGCACAATGTTTCTGTCTAAATTTCTTCCTTTCTGAACAGAAATTTCCTAAAGCCTGTAGGCAGAATAACCCTGGAATGGCTTTCGCTGCTGTTGCTGCCTCTGCCATGCTGGTGCATTGCTTCAAGGTCTTGCAGCTTTAAATCCCAAAAGCTTGTGTGTGCACTCGTGGGCTGGTGCTGGCTGCTTGGACTGCCCAGCTGCTGGCTCTGCTCTCTTGCTGGCTTCAGAGGCAGCTGTGCCTGTTGAGTTGCTGGCATTTAGCAGTGGGATCAGCTTTGTGAAACCCTGGGCCTGGCACAGCCAGTTTCCCAGCCCTGCCTGAGAGGTAGATGGAGATCACCACAGCAGAGGCACACAGCTAGTGAGCACAACACTGCCCTGCAGAGTCCCACAGCCCAGAGCCTGACTCCCCGTGGTAACAACAGCTTTTTCAGCTCTCCAGACACCATTGCCAGCTCATGACTTTGCCCCTCAGGAGCTGATTTTGCCTACAGGGGCCTTTAGATCACTCTCAAATTCTGAGGAGACCCGCAGTTTGCCGCCAGCACTGGCTGTGATTGCTGTGGTTATAACAGTGACATCCCATGTACCTGGGAGCAGCATCCTCTTCCAGATCTCTGCTGTATGTGCTTAATTAATCCTCTTACCCAGAAACAGTCCTGGGAACACGGTGAGTTCAGCAGCCTGGCCTCAGCGTTGAGAAACTCAGAGCATCATTGAGGACTGTGCCAGGGCTGGGGGGAGAGCCCCAGGCTCTGGTGTGGGAGGACGGGGAAGGGGTCCTGGGGGAGTTTTAGTCCAGCCTGTGTGTTGGGAGGTGAGAAGGGGTCCCTGGAGAGGGCTGGTGAGGTGTGACATCCAAGCATTCTCCTGTTGTTGCTTCTGCAGTGGAAAACCAGGCACACTGCGACTTTGTGAAGCTGCGGAACATGCTGATCCGGACACACATGCATGACCTGAAGGACGTCACTTGTGATGTCCACTATGAGAACTACCGAGCTCAGTGCATCCAGCAAATGACCAGGTGGGTCCCCACCACTTCAACCAGAAGTAGCAGGGGCATCTCACTCTCTGCAGAGCTGGAGTTGTGCTCAGAACAGCTTGTTGGTCAGGAGGCTGTGGGTGTGCTGGGGACGTGCTGGGCTGCAGCCTGGGAAATGGCACTGCAAAGTAAAATAGCAAATCCAAACGTGTCTCCCACAGCCTGACCCCATGGTGGGGATATTTCTGAGCATCCATGTTCCTGTCTGGGGAATCCCCATGCAGATCTTGGGAAACAGGCCTGGAGATTATCTTGAAGAGCTGTTCTTAGCAGTGGGTGAAATACATCAGCCTAATGAAACGGGGTTCTGTCCAGATGACAGCATGACCCTTGGGATGCTGCTGTTTCTCAGACAACAGAGCCCAGGCAATTAGCAAGACTCCTAACACATCTCCAAAGATTTCTCTGCATTGTCTTCTCGTTGCATTTGATTCTCTGTGGTTTTAGTCACAGTGATCAGAAAATAGAAGAGAGACCACTCACAGGCTTCTAATTTGAAATCTGTTTTTTTCCTTTTCCCTTCCATGACTGAAATACTGGTGACAAACTATAGGTTTAAGTAGGTCTTGGCTTGTCTGTTGTAAACCATCCCCTTCGCTTCCTGCCTGAACTGGCCGGGAAGCTGTGTGCTGCCACGTTGCAGAGCAGAAATGGCTGCACTTCACCGAGGAACAGTCCTGCATGTGTGCAGACGTGCAGATTGGCACATTCTGTTCACATACAGTGTAGCTAAATACTTCTGCATAGCAGACAAGCTTGTCTTTTTCAACAGTGAGAATATGGAGTCCCAAAAATAACTATGTTAAATGCTAGAGATCAGTGAGAAGTGTCACAGCTGCTATTTAGGTAGGCTGTGTATCTATCAAAAGAAGAGCATGGTGAAAGAGCAATTGCTCAGCTTAAGGAAAGCTTAAGTTTGGCACCATTTCTCACGCCATGGCTAGTTCCTTGCCAGTGAACAAGTCTCGTAAAACTGCAGCATGGCCGTTTCTAGCAGTGGGATAAGGGTCCTTCTCTAGAGAGACGTTTGGGGAGGAGATTCCAAGCTCCAGGGCAGGAATTGACTCAATAATGAGCCAACGGTGACTCCAAGTGGTGAATGCCTGCAAGTAGCATCTGGAATTCTGAGTTTCAGCCCAGGCCACTTTGGCCACTACCACCCCCTCCTCACCTATGGAGAGCTCCTCTGACTTCTGGAAGAAAGTCCCCTCCTTCCTCTGTCCCCTGCCTGCACTCGTGTGCACCCCCAGCCCTCATCACAATGCTGCTGTGCTGTGCCTGTTGTGCCTTATACGTCTCTCACCTCCTGAATATGGGGACGGGCTTTGTTACCAGATTGCAGCAACTAAACTGCTCCTCTGGTTTTATCTTCCTGGGAAAAAAAGGACCATGGTGAGCATGTGGTGCCTTAGGAATGCCCATAGTTTGTGTTGGTGCTATGTATACATGTAGGCATGTGCACAGCTGAGCCAAAGGAGACTAGATAAATTGTCTGTAAATGTCTCCACTAAGCTTGCTAATGCAGTTACAAAAGGTGGTCAGAAACATCAGCTCTTCCTGTGTTTGCTGGCAGTATGAGCCTGGTTTGGGTTTTTGCTGTTAGCTACCCACAAGCTTCTATTTTGAAAATATTTGTAGACTCTGGTTGCATTCTGCATCTGAGTTATCCCACATCTCTGGGCTAGATTGCCCCACAGCCCCTCCATCTGGCAGGTCTGCCATGGTGAGTGACAGCCATCGTGTGGTGACACCAAAGCCAGCCAGCCTGAACCACGACTGACTGTTTCTTCTCTCTGTCTCTCCAGCAAGCTGACTCAGGACAACAGAATAGAAAGTCCGATTCCTATCCTGCCTCTCCCAACACCAGACACTGAGACAGAGAAGCTGATCAAAATGAAGGATGAGGAGGTGAGACCCATTTCTGCCTGGGCCTCCTTGGAGCTGGAATCTAAGGAGTTTCTCCAGGATTGCTCCATAGAGGCTGTCCTGGGGCTTCTGACTCCTGCCTGCCACCATCATGGGCTCCTGGTGTGGAGGACAGGGTGTGAAAGCTGTGGCTTCCTCTGTCAGGGAAACGTGGCTCCATTCCACCACAGACACAGATGCCTCTGTGCTCAGGCAGGGGTTCAGACTCTCTGAGGGATCCGTTTGTCAGCTCCAGGGGACTGCCCCTAGTGCAGATCTCCTCCCAGCCACAACAGATCCTTTTTTGACTCTCTTTTCTCTGTCTCATGCAGTTACGGCGGATGCAAGAGATGCTGCAGAAGATGCAGCAGCAGATGCAGGATCAGTGAGAGGCAGGTACTTGGAGGGCAGAGGGAATCCCCCAGTGACCATCTGAGGCCTGGCAAGAGCTGTGGACGTTTAGAAAAGGTTTCCTGTTGTATAGAGACTTGTGGGCAAGAGCCGCACCCGCACCCTCTAATTTATTAGCAGCAATGCTGGCTTTGCAGTCAGCTGGATTGTGGAGGAGGCTGTTCACTTAACAGTTTACTGATGTGTATTTCTTTTTTTAATAATTATTCTTTCTTTTTTTCTTTTTATTTTAAAGAAAATAGCCTGGGAAGCCTCTAAGGCATCCTAAAAAAAAAGAAAGAAAATATCTCCCTTTCTCATGTACTAATCTCTTGTTTGGGAATGCTCTGGTATTTGAAGTCCTGGTTTCTCTGGTGTAAGAACTTGAAGACTACCTGTGTCAATGCACGTAAATGTTTACTCCCAACTGAGGTGCTGTGCCCCCCTCCCTGTTCCTCTTGTCTGGGGCCAGCACAAGCATTATAAAGGCAGCTGCACCCTCCTGCGAGTTTGACCTGTGCTGCTCAGGCTCCTCAGCCTGGGGCCAGCTCTGGCCCAGAGAGCTGGGGCTGTGGGTTTCTCTGTGCACTGACCTGCTCAGGGGTCCTGATGGCTGCCTGGTTTCCTGCTCAAATTTTTCTGAATTTTTTTTTGTTTAGTTGGTTGGTTTTGTTTTTCCTATCAAGGAACTCCAGGATCTTTTCACTGAGCAGCAAGGGACTGAGTCTCTTGAGACTGATTAGAAGAAAATGGCTTCTACTGCTCTCGTTTATGTCTTTCTGGCAGCGAGGATGAGTTGTTGACTGTTGTCTGCGAGGAGCAGATGATGGGAGTGGGATCTTCCCAGCCATGGTTTCCTTCCACAGCAGGCTGGGGGTGTTGGTAGAAGAACCCAGGGCCCTGCAGTAACTGGGTGATGGTATCTCATGGTTTAGCTCTGGTCATTGAGCTGCAGTGTGTCTCCAGCATCTGCTCTGAAAAGCAGCACAGCAGCCAGAGTGTGTGGCTGGTACTGCTTTGGAGGGGGTAGAAACTGTAGGGCTGAAATCCAACCCCAAATGCAGAGATGTGCCCTCCCAGGCCTGGCGGTCCCACAAGCGCGTTGCTGGCTTTGAGCTTCTCCTGGGGAAAGGGGTGATTTCTGTAGGCTTGTACCAGAGATCTGCAAGCTGTCTGTCCAGGCAGGTGTTGGGTGTTACTGCACGGGGCTCAGCACAGCCCAGGAGACTCTGCACTTGCCCTCGTGCCCTTCCCCTGGGACTCAGACCTTCTCCCCCTCCCTGGTCTGAGGCTCTTCCTTGTCTCTTTGCTGGGAAGGCTGGTGGATCTGCTGGGCACAGATAAGAGCACTCTTTGGGCAGCAGCTTCTGTCCTGTTCTTGCGTCCTACGCTATTTTTAACTTTAACCTGGCCAGAGCAGAGCCCCAGAGTGTGATGTGCCTGACAGGGCAGGCCCCACCAGCAACACTGCCGCGCTCACAGGGAATCGGGGCTGTTGGGGGGAGAGACACTTGGCTTTTCCTTCTGACTCCAGGGAGTGCTGCCATGGGCTGGGCCCTTCTGCTCCTCTGGCTTCCACCCCGATTCCTCTGCCTCCTTTTCCTTTCCCCTTTGTATCTGCTGTTCCATCTCTGGCTCTCCCCAGTAGATCTCCCTGGGTAGGAAGCACAGTGTTTGCCAGGGCGAAATAGCCAGGCCCTAAGTTCTGTTATTAGACACTGCGTTTGTCTCGTTCCCCCATGGGGCTGTAGAGTCCAGATCAGGGCTTGTCCGGGGTGTGAGTAGGTTGGCTGGTTCCAGTTATTCACTGTACAGAGCCTCTGCTTAGCCAGAACATGGGCTGTAGGAGCAGGGGAGAGACCCTGGCACAGTGTGGAAGGACAAAGCAAGGGTGGAAGCTCCTTGGCAGAAATGTGTAAGCTGGGCAAGAGCAGTGTCCAACAATGTTTTGGGGTTTTTTTCTTTCATTCTCCCCTATACTGGGCTTATAAGTGGCAGTGCCAGCCTAGGAGAGGGGAAGGGTTCAGCTTGTCTTCAATAACAGGCAGCACCAAGGTGCTTAAGGAGGAAATACAACCTTTCTTTGTGTGAGATGCTCACTTGAGCAGTAGAGTAGCTTGAAACAGGAGCTTCCTCCAGGTTTTCTGGAGCTGGTTTGCTGCTGTCCAAAGCAAGAGGACTGCTGAGTTCTTAGCTTTATCCATGCTAGCATAATGGGAAACACCCTGCAGTACCTGTCCCCTCTTTTCTTACCCTAGTCTTGTCTGTGAGGAGGATGTTCTATTGTAAATGAGCCCTGTCCAGCTCTAGATGTTCCTCTTTCAAACAGATTCATTCCTGGAAGATAAAGGAGACCTTTACCCTTTAGCATGGACATACTGGAGCTGACAGATTTTATCCTGGGCTGTGTGGGGAAGTGCTGTGTGCTGATGAGAGCACAGGGTGCACTGGTCACAGGCAGGCAGGATTGCTGAGGGTCAGCCTGCCCCTGTTCCTCAGGGTGAGGAAGTCTCCATCAGCTCAGTGCACATGGCTCCTCCATCAAGTCAATAGTCACAAATTTGTCCTCTACAGAGACCTGAAGCCTTTGGCTACCAGCTGGCGAAGATGGTTCAAGTTGCACTTAGAAAAAAATGCAGAGGAGTGAGGCACCAGAGATGGCTTCTGTAGAGGGGCAGTGGTGCCGCTGAAATCACGTCTCTGTGTAGGAGGTTCCCTGCCCAGAGCACCAGAGTTTGGGGGCTGTCTGGAAGGGGATTATAGACTGACTTTGGGGGCACCAGGGATTCAGAGTCTGGCCTGGAAGGTGGCATCTGTTTATTAAAGGAGGAATGTTTTGTCCTGCTGCATTGAGCTGTGCAGCAAGGGGAGAAGAGTCTCCTGAACAAATGTAGCTTGGCCATTTGGCTCTGGGATCGAGAACTGTGGGTAGGAAAGTAATTTAACACCTCCCCTCACAAAACCCTTCACAGCCTTATATGAGACCCCTGCACCCCCAGGCACATTCCCACGCCTCTGCCAAGCTTTGCCCTGCTGAGTGAGTCACTGCAGGGGTGGTGTCCCACTCTGCAGAGCTGTCCGAGGCTGCAGCTGGGGCTGTCGCTACAAGGTCTTGGACCTTGTTCCTGCCTGGGGAGGGAGCCGTGGCACGTATTTCTTATGTGCTGCTGCTGTGCTGGTCCTGCCTGTGCAGTCCTTGCTGCTTCTCCATGTGCCTCCTCCCAAAGGAGGAGGGGGTCCTGCTCTTTGTGCTGTGCGATGCTGTCCCCTGCTCCTCCTCACAAACCCTGCTGTGCTTTAACTCTGGCTTGCTCCTGCCATGTGACTTCCTTGCCCCCTGCTCCATTCCTAGGCTCTTTGTTTCCTGTCCATCTGTTGGGTTATTATAATATATATTTTTTTTGTAAATTTCTGTTTGAACATTTTGTTATTGTGAGCAAAGAAAAATGAAACCTTTTAAAACATACCCATTTTATTAAATGATTATTGTTATTATTATTATTATTATTAATGTTTACTACCTGAATTGATCAGTGAAATAAATACATTCAAAAACCCAATCTCTTTCTGTTTAATTTTCAGTCCCCCTGAGCAGCATTGGTGATACTTTATAGGCAGGAGAGAGAAAAACTGATGCTGTTTCTCCTTCTATCTAATTCCGTCAGAGTGGCCTCCAGGCAGAGCTTCCTGCGTGGGATTTCTGGCCTATTTATGTCAGAAGCTAGACAAGATGATCTTGAAGTTCTTCTATCTTTAAGCTTCCCCTAGGAGTAGTGTCTAAATCAGCAGTGGACAGCTGGGCAGGATCCAGTCCCAGGAAATCCATTTTGTAAGTAGCCAAAGGAGCATTGCTGAGTCTGTGCTGCATGCAGAGCCCGAATGGGTCTGGCTCTAGATCAGCTCTGTGCCACACCTGGCCTGGGCACCTGCCATGAATAAATGTAGCACCAAATGCATGAGACCAAGCAAGTTTGCTGAGCAAACTTACCCTGTGCTAATCAAGCTGCTTCCAAGTGGAAGGCAGGCCCTGCAGGAAAAGCTGGGTTCATTTGTTGGCCCAAGATCTTTCTCACTCTGCCTGCCTGCCACAGTGAAACAACTGGAATGATCTGCTCCAACTTACTAGAAATTGAATGCTTAATTGTTCTGTTTAGAGCATCAGAGATTTTCCCTTGGTTAGGGCCCAGTTCTGCTTTTACACCCTAAATTCTCTTTAACATCAGCACACTCAGGGTGTTCATCATTTCTGCTCTGTACAATTTGCACAGTACAAGGTAATGGAGAGTTGGGCCCAACGGGGCAACAGTTTCACAGTGTAATTCTGGTGGCCTTATCTTAAGGAGCATAGTCAATGCCTAGAGTCAGGCTGATGGCATGTATTGGGTTTGCGTGGCAAGGTTTTG